CGACTTCAAATGCCGGCCGCCCGACAGATAATGAAGGTTCAGGGCGGTGGGTATTTAGATGAGAGAGCTTCAGAGCGTTGGGTCTTAAGATGATGGAGCTTTTGGGCGGTGGGTCTTTAGATGAGGGAGCTTCATAGTGGTGGGTCTTTAGATGATGGAGGTTCAGAGCGATGGGTCTTCAGATGACGGAGCTTCAGAGCGGTGGGTCTTTAGATGATGAAACCCCAGAGCGATGGGTCTTCAGATGACGGAGCTTCAGAGCGGTGGGTCTTTAGATGATGAAACCCCAGAGTGGTGGGTCCTTAGATGATGGAGCTTCAGAGCGGTGGGTCTTTAGATGATGGAGCTTCAGAGCGGTGGGTCTACAAATGATGGACATTCAGAGCGGTGAGTCTACAAATGATGGAGATTTAGAGCGGTGGGTCTAAAAATGTTAATATTTCTGAGCGGTGGGTCTTAAGAGGGTGAGGCGAGATGCACAAGGTGCTCGACACAGTTTCATTTTTAGTAAGAAGCTTTTAAAAAGCAACGTTTGCTTCCTATGCCTTGAGGGATGAATGGCTTCTATAACTTGTTACGCACACTTTATTTCACAAGTGTAGCCGTGTCGAAATACATCAACATTCATATTCCGCGTTTGCATATCGTAAGAATTGCTTTGGTGTAAAACTTTCGTCTGAGACCATTTCTTATGAATGCTAAATATAGCTAATCGCATTTTTTGGCATCCGGTGCGTACTTTTTCAGGAAATGGACGTTTATAAAAAGCTGCAGATGTTTGGTGTGAAGGACGGATTCTAAGGTTTTTTGCCAAGGTGCAACATGCAAAAACAGCCAACGGTTCAAAACTCAACTTCTACCTCATCGGCCTCTAGCAAAAGAGGTTTTTTGCTTTTGCTAGTATGTGTTGTTTGGTACCTTCAAAAGCAGAGCAGGTCTCCGAGTTCCACACATGGTACAAGCGATACCATTTGACTAAGGGAGTGTTACGTTAACGGTGTTAGACATTTCATCTGCCTTAACTTCTGCCGGCATCAAATCCCTAGTCACGCCGCTCTCGTGGTGTGCTCGTTAAAGTTTTAATTCGATTACATGGGATTTTAACACTCGTGCAGAGTATGGCTTCGACCATGCTGGGTAAGTTTAGCGGGCTGAATCAATGTACGCTTAATGATGACGTTTTGCCCGACCGTGACAAAAATCGCCCGGCACGCAAAAAATTGCGCGAATGTTGGTTTCAGTAACCTTTATTACATTCGTTGAGGTTTTGGTGCGCCATCTCAATTAGCTCAGGCCATAGTATGTTGTTTTCGACCGACCGGTTTAAAAAGGTGGCATTCTTTCCCAGCGGATTTAATTGGCAAACCAGTCGGTTGGACAGCATTGAGATCGCTTAGCTAGGCTAAGTGGGCATTTTTCTCTCGCCCGCAAGTCAGCATGTCAGTTATGTAACCGTGACTAAGAGAGCAGATGAGATATCTGAGCCTCCGTCGCCGTTGTTTTGACTTCTGTACCTGTTTTGGTCGCCGACAGCTGGCGCCATTCCATGAAAACGCCGAAAACGGCTGGATCCGCGGCTGACTCCCTTGAACGTGCGGCAGCGTCAGCCGAGCGCGTCGACCCACTGTTTTTCAGCGCAATTGTCAGTTCTCGGCTCCATCAGACGGGGCTGGTTTTGTGTCTCTCAAACAGCGGGGCAGTGAGATCTAAGCCAGGTCTCGGCTCGTACTGCGCAACTTTTCAAGGTTTCTTAAAAGCCACTTTTTTGCACCGCAAAGGTGCAAGAAAATCGGGACTGGTCAAGTCAGTGGTAAGAGTAGATGCCCTAAAATGTGTGTAGCCATGGGTGTCCCCTCCAATGCTTTTCTAGGCCCTCTCAAATCATATGTGGAAAGAGGGAATACTGGGCCAAACGAATTTTTAAAGAAATCATCTTAGCTGTGTGTACTTTAGATGCAAAAGACGCATCACTACTAGTATCATGTTTTTTGGCGCCAAGAAATATCTGTAGATACCTACAGTTTTTTCATGTCTACCCCTTCTTATGATAGACTACACTGAAAGTGTCTCACACGTTTTTCACCTTACAGCACCTGTATTGGAATCAAGAACAATTGACTGTAATGTGCGGCAGCTTTTAAAAGTACTGGATGGTCCAGGTAAAAGATAACCCCTGTTTTCTAAACAGTGGCGAGTGCATTTTCTACACAATCGTGCCTGTTGTAGTATTTGATTGCCAAGTGAATGGCAAAACACGACCGGCGACAGCGGTAGTCATCAATGCTCCCACATCCGTCACATCGTCAACACGACGTATGTTAAGTACAATCTGGCAGTGTGTTGCTCCCCTGGTTATACCACAAAAGGGTGGCAAGTGATGAAATCAAAACACCTTGTGTAGTGTGTTCCAGAGCGAAAGAAATATATGGGTGCCGTTGATCGACTGACGAAGAAATCTGATCATAAGTGCAGCTTCACCACATTGGGTTTCCCAATGCAACCAATGTTTTGGGTACCGTTTAACCATTAACTTTTGGTGTACTGACGGTTGATTACTTTCAACATAAGAACTCCCTACGCATCACCCGAAGTGCCAAGACTCAACAATCTTCTTGGTTACATCAGCTTCCAACATATGTCCAGCGTTGTTCACCCTTTTCCGAGGCTGCTGCTCTGGAGACCCATTCGGTGGCTAGACCCTTTACCTAATTTACATCGATATGCCTGTTGTTATCGATGTTATCGATATGTCTGTTGAGAAAGCCGTGCAAATTAAGCTCTACTTTTACATACAGGCACATCATGGCAGCGAACTAGACACATATTTCATAGGGTCTTGTTTGTACGTGCCAGACCACGCCATAAGACATAAAGCTTGTCTTCTGAGGCGCGGGCCGCCTTCGATGAAAGTTGAACGACACCTATCTCCGATGGTCGTGAGGGCTCAAATTACTTAGATGTTTCCTCTGTGAATTTGCAACCGCAATGATTTCAGAAAGTGACACCCCTGCGTGTAACACGACTAAATAGTTAAATAATTTCGCTCCATGCTGCTGAAATCTGCGCAAATCTGTTATCACTCGTTGCCAGTACCACGTGCACAAATAAGCTTATGGAAGGTGCCATGGACGGGATAGCCAAGCAGTTGGTGCGAAACATTTTCTGACTGCTAAGACCCAATTGGCCTTCGCTCCCACTCGTTATAACTGCTGTTCCGTCTACAACTCATGTTCACCCTGCTTCTGCATTTGAAAATAGCGGGGAGTGCTGCCCACGTGGTACAGATGGCGGCAGGTGGCAATGTTAATTCAAATTGAACGCGATTGTGATCTGGTACTCACATAACAGCGGTGTCACGATTATTCACGGAACAGAAATGTCCTCCATGGCCTCCTTTTAGTATCAAGCTTGTTATGCTCCGTGATCCTGACCACGTTTATCTACGAGCTTTTCCGAGTTATGTCGGCGGGACTTCCGAATGAGTCACCCACATCTATCTGTCTGACTACGTTTGGCTCGTATTATGGTTGGCATGGCCTAATTTCCGCACTGCTCTTCGCAATCTTCCAGTGACACCATTTTTGGCAACAGCGCCCTTTTCTTGGCGTTTCACGTGCGATGCGATACAAATGACCAAGTCAGCTGCACACATTAACTAAACGAGGGTCAAGATACCAATCACGCCTGGCAACCCGCCATGGCGAGCTTCGACGATGCGAGGCGATAGCCACAGAGCTAGGAATACCTGCACGGTTCGTACTGGTCATTGGTCGCGCGAGCGACAGCACGGGTGCTGACCTGACCACTCAGCAACAGCGCGAGTGCTGATCTGACCACCCAGCAACAGCGCGAGTGCTGATCTGACCACTCGGCGACAGCGCGAGTGCTGACCTGACCACTCAGCGACAGCGCAGGTGCTGACCTGACCACTCAGCGACAGCGCGAGTGCTGATCTGATCACTGACCTGCAGCGCGAGTGCTGACCTGACCACTGAGCTGCAGCGCGGGTGCTGACCCGACTACTCAGCGACAGCGCGAGTGCTGATCTGACCACTTAGCGACAGCGCAGGCGCTGACCTGACCACTGAGCGGCAGCGCGAGTGCTGACCTGACCATTGAGCGTCGCACCCCTTATTCTCGCTAAAAGCTCGTGGCGGCTAAAATCCCCAGTCCCCATGCGTACGACGTATTTTTGTATTTTTAAGACCCCGACTGTTTCGTCTCAGAGCATCGAGATAATGACGTGTTGCATGTATAAATACAGCGCGCGCAAAAAGTAGAGCGAGGGATGATTTGGTTAAGGAGTTAGTATAATTTGGTTAAGTCAGCCCAAATGCACGCTTCTGTTCTGTGAAACAAGCAAAACGTGATGGCAAAATAATGTTAACAGTATATCGTCCTTCTTGGCCATTTTATGTATTTGTTTAATTCCTTTAGGTGTTAGAGGTGTGTGCCTGGATAGCCAGGCTGCGTCTGGTGGCCGCTTGGGCCGAAATAGTAATTGCATCGTGATTCAAAGCTCACTTTTCCCGGGGCGTTGGGACCAATTTAGTTCCCGTGTGGTCTAACAGCCCCAGGACTTAGCCGATTTCAGTGGAATACCCGTATGTTTTTCGTGACTTACAGATTGTCAGTGTATTTTGCGGATGTATGTCAAGCCCAATGTCAGTCTCAGATCCTGTTTGATATTGCAAAAAAGCAAAACCGCTCTTGGAATCTTTCACAACGGTTCTTGAGGCCTGAAGACGCCCGAAAAGGCTTGGGTTTCCCCCAAGGAAGCAATGTGGTGTACAGAGATGATATTTGGGATAATTGCAAACACTACGCAAAGACAAAACAAGATTAAAACTAGTACCGCCCTGCTACTCCATCACGAGGCATTTTTGGGCGCTGCCACCGGTCGACACGTGTTCTAACGTCCTTGTCCTCCGGGCTGGTTCACGTGACGTGTCGTGTCTTCCCGCGGAGCCGGCAGTGATAGCGTCGCCCTGTGTTGACAGGAGGCCACCTGCGAGCCGAGCGGGGCTGACAGCATGCGGCCCTCCCCTGCTGACGTCACTACGGCACCATGGCACAGCTGGCGGTGCCGCCGGCCAGTCAGCAGCGGCCCTCGCTCAGCAAGCGGCGCCGTCTGAACGCGCTGCTCGACAAGCTGACCATCGGCCTCGGGCGGGTCGACCATGAGCCGCCCGCAGCGCCGTCTATATTGACCGAGAGCCGCCCGACAGTGCCGTTTATAACGCCTGAGTGCCACCCGCCAGCGCCACCTATGTTCGCACGCGCCGAGGCCGAGCCGCCGCGCGTCAGCGATGAGGCGGCGCCGCCGTCGGCCGCGCGCAGTCCTCGCGCGCTCTCCTCGGACGTGTTCCGGTTCGACAGCCTGGACCGCGAGCGATTCGCGTGCCGCGCCATCTCAGAGGAGGAGGAGGACGTATTCTCACCGGCGTCCTCCCGCTCGCCGCACTCCTCCATCGACAGTCCGTTTGTCGGCCACGGCTCGCCGTTGCCCGGACTCAGCCCGCTGCGTGTGAAGGAGGAGCCAGACAGCGAGGCGAAACACGAACCCCATGCGCCGACGGTCGGGCCGCCGCCGCGGTTGCAGGTGGTCACGTGCGAGCGCGATGCCGGCGCGCCGCGCAAGCCGCCGCCACACCGGCTCAACTTTTGCGCGTGCGCGCAGTGCGCGGCCGGTGCGGACGGCGATGGACGGCTGGAGGCGCCCGGCCGGTTACCGGCCGGTTCTCCGCTCTCGCCGCTGACGCCGGTGAGCCCGGCGGCGTCCGGCTCGCTCTCGCAGTCGCCACTGCCGCTCGAGTACCTGTCGCAGCTGAGCGAGCTGTACCGGCGCCGCAGCCACTCCGACTCGGACCTGAGCGCCTGGCTGGAGGCGCCGGCGCCGGCGCGCGGCTCCGTGCTGCGCCAGGGCCGGCGCGCGCCGCGGCCGCTGCGCATCCCCGGCAAGTCGGGCTCGCTCGAGTCGGACCAGTCGTCGCCGCAGGACTCACCGCTCGACCTGTCGCTGCGCGCACCGCCGCCAGGCGGCGCGCCGGGCGCCGGCGCGCTGCCCGGTTGGGAAGCGGCGCTGCGGCTAGCGCCACACCGTCTGCTCGGACTGCCCGGCTCCGGCCTGCACCCGCCCATACCGATCGTCCGCGGTGATGTGGCCTCGCCGACGACGCGTGACTCGGTGGCGCTGCGCTACAACCTGGAGGTGTGCCCCGTGGTGGAGGAGATGCCGCCGGGCACGGACGTGGCCTACGTGTGTCCCGTGTGCGGACAGATGTTCTCGCTGCACGACCGGCTGGCCAAGCACATGGCGTCGCGCCACAAGAGCAAGCCCGCCGACACCGCCTCTAAGGCGTACGTGTGCGATACGTGCAAGCGCTCGTTCGCACGCAGCGACATGCTGACGCGCCACATGCGGCTGCACACGGGCCTCAAGCCGTACACGTGCCGCGCTTGCGGCCAGGTGTTCTCGCGCTCCGATCACCTGTCGACGCACCAGCGAACGCACACCGGCGAGAAGCCGTACAAGTGCCCGCAGTGTCCGTACGCGGCGTGCCGGCGCGACATGATCACGCGCCACATGCGCACGCACGCGCGCTACGAGCTGGGCGAGGGCGGCGGCGGCGGCGGCAGCGTGGACGAGGCGGCGCCGCCGCGCTCCCCGCGCGCACCGCCGCGCCGCGCCAACTCGGAGGAGCAGCCGCCCACCTACCTCCGCCACCTGCCGGCCGCGCTCGGCGGCCAGGAGGCGCCGCCGTCGCCGAGCACGGCGCTGCAGTCGCTGTCGGTGCAGAGCCCGGCGCCGATGGAGACGGGCGAGCCGCCGGGCCTGGCGTGACGGCGACCGCGGACCACGGCCAGTGTACTGAGAGCTTAGCACGGCGGCGGCGCCGGCCGGCGCGCTGTTACCGTACGGCTGTCGGTCCGAGAGCCTGGCCTTGCGTTGGCAGCTTTGTCGGTGGCCAGGCCGCCATTGTTGATGTTCGTTTTGTTTTGCTCAAGCGGGCCGAGGACCAACGTCCGACTGCCGGGGCCGGGGTCTTGGCTGGAACCGGGACCGGGACCGCTCGCCCGCCGCTGCCAGCCCGGTACAAACCGCGCGGCCATAGCGGGATAACAGCCCCGTGTCACCGAGCCTCGCGGCATTTTCGACGTTCAAGGCGGTCGTCCTTGGGATCTCGGACTGGTTCAGTCTGACTGACGCGTTGTAGACGTCACCTGCCCATGGCCCCCCGTTGTCAGGTCGTTTGTTGTTTACCAGTAACGTCGACGGGCGCCCGCCCCAGCGGCGCAGGCCGGGAGATCGTGGGGTTGTGAGAGCCCGCTCGGGTCATTTTCAGCTGCTTTCTGCCGTGCCGGCTTCAACCAATAGCGTGGAACTCACCAGAAATGTGGCAGTCGCCCTGAAGCTGCATTATTTTGCGGCTGATGGCATTTAAACAGGTCTGCTTTCGCTCGGTTAATAGACTAGGCACGCAGGGCTGTGGCGGCATGTCAGCGCAGATACCTGTCCTAACTCCATCATCACGTCTCTCGACCTCGGCCTTTCCAGGAACGCCATCAACAGACAGGCACATTTTGCAACGCTATTCAAAATTCGTTCATCATAAAATGGGAATACAAGTAATTCAACATAGCGTGACAAAGTGATACGAAGTGCTGAAACCCGTTCTTGTACACCATCGCAGCGGCCATAAAGATGACGGTTGTTTAGCACATTGGTAAATGTTGGTGTGACCCGACGTTTCAGAAACATGAACTCGTTTATTATATCGCAGGTGATGAAAAAGCTCTTAACGACCACATTTTATAAGTCCTAGAAATCGTTATGACGGTCGTTGGTAACAGGACGCATTCGTTGTTCGTTTTTAGTTGCACACGTGAGCCCGAGGCAGGTTAGCTAACGCCGTTGTCCTGTTGGCTGCAGATCGCATTGAGGGGCCGCTCTCCAGTCGCTTAACTTGACGGTCATGGTTTTCCAGAACAGGCACTGATCAACCATCTCCCAAATTATTTTGGCGATCTCCTGCGTCCTGACCTTGACTGACACCCCCATTATTTCATATCTCCTCAGATGTAAGCATTGGGATATTTCGCTTCGAGTACAGTGCTCTTTGTCCGAGCATAGCTAGTTCATGCAAGGCTCAGGCATCTGATTGTGACATGTTTCCACCGATTGTGGAGTTCAAGGGTGATTGATGCCGTCTGTCTCACGAAACGTTAGCTTGTTGGTGAGCCGAGACCCGTGCCTGCCTGCGATTGGCTGGCATTGACGTTAGCGCATCGCCCTCGGGTCACGCCCAGATCACGGTTTTGGAGTTTGGAACAGACTGTTTTATTCAGTTGCGATCCTCACAGTGCGTTACCCGTCGTAGTATCTAGTTGTTGGCCGCAATCCCCAAACCTGTTTTTCATGGTTAAAGTGACACACCAGTGCCGCCACGAATGCCACCGACCTGTGCAAAGCACGAATTTGCATGTTTGGTGTGTTTGGCCAGCTGACTTGGTTTTTTGCGCTGCATTTTTTGTTTTTTTGGCACGGATCCAAGTCGTTCTGCCGGTGTAGCCATGGCGCTTAGGTGACATTGTCGGGTTCCGAGACGTACGTGACGTGCAAACGTGATACGTGACAGACATGCGTGACGGGTCAGTTTTTCATCGTTCACAAACTTGTCCCAAATCGTCTTCTAAGTGTCCTGTCATGATCGGACAGCCTCCACTAAAAGCTCCGGGCTGTTGCTGGTTTTTCAATAACACGAACTCATCCACTGTGAATGCTGCTATGGTATTGCGCAACTGTACCAGTCACACACTTCGAAAGCTTTTGTTTCCAAAATGGGGCAAATGTGCGCTGTGACGTGCGTGTGCCATAACACGGCAACAGTGCTGAGCTTTCGGGCGAAAAGAATCATCCATTTACCGCTGGGATTGTTCTGTTCATGAAAGGCCAGTTCACACCAAATGTGTCGGACGTAATTTTGGAAGTGACTGCGTCAAAGCATGCGGTCACATGGTTACAGTGTGTTGAATTACCAAAGATTGTAAAAGTTACGCGATCCTGGCTTGTGTCTACGTAGGGATACGTAAAATACGTGCCATCCGGCTTTCAGGCCAAAACCAGTCAGACCGTTTTAAAATATTTGTAGCATCGTGGCGAATCAGTGCTATCCGACTGATTCGAGCGCACTACAAGCCTTTGGCTGCACCTTGTGAAACAGCCGCGTGCAGAACTGCGCCGGGCACACCTGATGTGAGCTGGCCTTTTTCACCGTTATACTCCGCCGTCGCAGATACCTCAAGGTCTGACATGCGATCAAAAGCACCGCGGCCCATCATCGGCCCGCGGCCCATCAGGGGGCTCTGCCTTCGGCGATGACTCTCGCTCCCCCGCTCTGTTCTCATTTTCGCCGCGGCCCGATGCCCGGGGACGCACCGGAAACGCGACTTCCGGTGCGGGCGAGAATCCCGCGACCTCCAGTCCTCACGCGGGGCGTGAGGAGGGCTACCTGGGCCTGCTCAGCTCCGCACGCGTCGCTCAAATGCGGGCTCAGAATCACGGCGGCGACGTGCGCCGCGCCGCGGTGTCTGTGGTAGGACAAATGTATTTTAATAAACGATTTTAAAGAACACTTTGTCTGATCCCGAATGTGAGTCGAGATGTGCGGGATGATCTTTCGCTGCCGTGTGGACGCAGGATGGTGATTGAAACACGGTCGGCGGGACAGGCTTCGGAGCGGTGAGGCAGATCCAGCACGACATCGATCGGGAACCATCGGTGCATGAGAGGCGCTGGCGTCGAAGCCGTCGTGGCATGACTCACAGCGCCCCGTGTTCTCACGGGCGGCCGCCACTGTTGACTGTGAATCACCGGCGCGGCTACGGCCAGGGGCGCCACAAGGGTGGGACGCAGCGGATCAAGCCGCAGGGGCGCTTCCGGGGTTGGACGCGAGGGAGCCAGCCGATATTGGCTCCGTCGCGTGCGAGGGGGGGGGGATTGTAGGAGGGAGAGCAGTTTGGTGTCCTTTAGGATGACACAGTTTTGCTTAGGACCACGCATTTAAAGTCATTGGACCGTTGGTGCCTCCTACGAAGCTGCACAGCCCCTTCACCTTGGTGACGCCCCTGTTCAAAGCCGGTCAGTGGGGCAATGGTCCGGTAAACCCCAGCGACACGCAACAGGACATCTGGCCCACGAGGGGCGCTGCCGGCCGACATCGCGGCGCTGTCGACAGCCGCTGGCGCCGTATCGATCAGCCAGCAGCTGCGAGGTGCAGATACACGGCGACTGTCAGCTGCGTACCGACGGCCCTATATCAGGGCAGCTGCCCGCCGCGTGGGAGCCAGTAGGCGTCTCCAGACGATCGGTGCCCAGTTGGGGACGGTTGGTCCTTATATCTGCGTTAGTAGCTAAGGCCTACGTGCTAGATTATTGCCGTAATTGGCAAAGTTCTCTAATCGTTTCTCGGGTGAATATATTGCGTAGGGGATACATTGGATAGATATGTAGATTGAAAAAGGTGTTGGATAAATCGTAAGTGGATGCATAAACCGTAGGCATTAGCATCCACAGGATTAACTTGGAGCGCGCGCTGTATATCCCTGCCTCTCTCTCTCTCTTGGCAATGTAACGAGCTTGTGCCAGGTAAAGTCGCTTAAACACGATATTTGCCTGGTCAAGCGAAGCATGTGATCATAAGCATCGATGTCCCTTTTTCCTAGTCGGTCGGAGACCGATTGGTCAGACCCATTGCATAGTAACTCGCGCCCGGCCGGTGGTCTGGGACAACCGTGCCGGCCGGTGGTCTGGGACAACCGCGCCCGGCCGGTGGTCTGGGACACCGCGCCGGGCCGGGGGTCTGGGACAACCGCGCCCGCCGGGGGTCGGGAACAACCGCGCCCGGCTGGTGGTCTGGGACAACCGCGCCCGGCCGGTGGTCTGGGGCAACCTCCCCGGCCTGGTGGTCTGGGACAACCGCGCCCGGGCGGGGGTCCTGGGACAACCGCCGCCCGGCCGGTGGTCCTGGGACAATCCGCGGCCCGGCCGGTGTTCTGCGGACAACCGCGCACGGGCGGAGGTTCTGGGACAACCGCGCCGGTCGGTGGTCATGGGACAAACCGCGCCCGGCCGGTGGTCTGAGGCAACCGCCCCGCGCTTGGTGGTCTGGGACAACCGCGCCCGGCCGGGCGGGGGGAAGCTGCACCTGCTTCCTGGGATCTTGCCAACTTCCAGACGCCTTATGAGAGAGGCCAAGATAGTGGTTTTGAAAAGTTTCCGCCAAAGTATGAAGAACGCACCTCAAGTGTTTTACTTAAGATCAAATGTGAGGTCACTAGAGACCACGAAAGGTCAAAAACCGTTGTTCAGATGGATGCAGTTAAACCCTTTTTTTAACACGTTAAAACGGTTACTGGGGGCGTGGAAATCAGCATAATGAGTGTAGGGAGTTCATTTCGACCATTTTTGTTTCCCACATGGGTCAGGTCAGATCAGGCCATTGTTCAAAATTGGTTCATCAGCAGCCTGCAAGAACGATGCTTCTCTTCACAATGTGCTTCTAAGCTCATTTTATTAGGTGCAGCTGTGGGACAACAGTATTTCACACACAGTAATGCCATTCTAAGTTATCTAGAGGTCATCTTAAGTCCACTTAGGTTAAGTTTAATAATAATCCAACTGACAAGAATTACGTGCTATCCGGTTTATGTGACTAGTACAGTATTATTTCGTAGTCAGAAATATTGCATTAGACATCTACAGGTATTCAAGATCACATAGCTGTTGTCTACATCATACACAGTCCCTCCGACGTTTTACAAGGTATTTGCAACAAGCTGAGG